CTGTCAGCTTCATTTGGAATGTCTTTCAAAACCCCGCGTGCAGAGGGAGCCTGCTCCATCCCTACGCCCTGAACCAAGCACACATTCTCATCAAACACTCCCCACCGAGGGCTCATCCTAACAGCTGCTGCCCATGGAAGGCTCCGTGTTGCCTCATCTGCCTCTCATGAGGAGTAGGGAAGGAAAGTAGGAAGGGAGGCAGGGAGGGATGGAGATAAGAAGGGAGGCAGGGAGGAAAGAAGGAAGGAGGCAATGAAGGAAGGAAGGGAGGGAAAAACTCAAAATTAAGAAGAGATGGGGGCAGTTGACCCGGTGCAGTGAGGGAAATTGGAGGTGAAAAGGCAATAAATGGTGCCGTGGACCATGGGGGGGGGAGTGGGATGTGAATGGCTGCACTGATACTCATTCAGGTCAAACACAACCAGACGCCCATAGGCACCGATGCAGCTCCTTGGCCACGCCCCGCGCCGTAACCTGGCCACGCCCCCCGGGTCGTCTCAGTTTTGAAGCCACGCCCCTAACATTCCTGGCCACGCCCCCATGCCCTGCGCCCGTCGCTTTTTGGCTAAACCACGCCCTTTCCGTTTGGCCACGCCCCCGCACGCCGTCGGTCCGATTCCAGCCACGCCCATCGCCGTTAACCACGCCCCTTCGTGCCATCAGCCACGCCCCCTTTCTGTCCTGGCCCCGCCCCGTCCCACGCTGCTCTTTGCCCGCACCGCGCCCGGTGCCGCTCCCGAAGCCACCGAACGGACCCGGTTCCGGCCCCCGGACTCACGGGCCCGCTGCCGCACCCGGACCCGCACCGCGGACCCATGGACGGCGGTCTGCGGCCCGGATCCCCGCAGCCGGGACCGGAGCCGCGCTCCGGACTCGCGGAACCAGACCCGAACGCGGGCGCGGACCCGGCGCCCGGACCCGCGAACGCGGAGCCCGATCTGAATCGCGGTCCCGAGGACCCGGACCCGGATCGGCGTCCCGGCGGCGCGGAACCGGTTCCGGCCCCGGCGCCCGCCCCGTGCCGTTGGTTCCTGGAGGGCCGCTGCCGTTTCGGGCCGCGCTGCCGCCGCCCGCACCCGGGGCGGAGTCCGACCGCCGGCCCGGAACCGGCAGCGACGCGGGACGAACCGGCAGCGGCGGGGAAGAAGCCGCCGCTGCGCCGCGCCGCCGCCGTCCTCAGCCGCCTCCGCTGGGACCCTCGAGCGGACCCCGCGGCCGCCACCGTGGAGTACCGCGACCGCTTCGTGGGCGTCGTGGAGCGGCGGCTGCTGGAGTTCTTCACGGGGCCGCTGTGCGACGCGGGGCCCGCGGACCTGGCGGTGCCCGAACACCGCATCGTGCGCATCCGCTACCGCGGGCGCTGCGTGTGGGACCGGGAGAAGCGCATCGATCGCGTGTTCGGGTCGGGGGGGGGGACGGGGACCATGCGGGAGGTGCTGGAGGAGCTGGGGGAGGGCTGGGGGGAGTGAGGGAGGGCGACGAACCCCCGAAATGCCGTCGGGGGCCCTTCTGTACCCCGGAGGTGACGGTGAGGTCCCCTCTGTGCTGGGGACGTGGGGATGCGCACTCCTGGAGGAGCCCTCGGCTGCAGTGACGTGGGCACAGGGTTCCCTTCTGTATCCAAAAAAAGGGCACCAAAATCCCTTTTGCATTGGGGACATGGGGACGTGCACATGGGATCCCCTTGGGCACAGGCTCACGGACATAGGGCGCACACACGCTTGGGGCCCTTCTGTACCCTGAAAGTGACACGGACGTCCCTTTAGCACTGGGATAACATGGCGGTGACATGAACGCCTCACCCTGTTCTGTAGTCCCACGGTGACAGTGAGGTCCTCTCAGCACTGGGGATATCGGGGACCCTTCTGTGCCACAAACACACGGAGATGGACACTTGGACCCCAGAGGAGACAGTGGTGTCCCTTTGGCTTCGGGGACATGGATGTGGGGGACCCTTCTGGTACCCCAAAGGTGACACTGAGGTCCCCTCGGCCCTGAGGACAGGAAAACCTGGACCAGGACACCGGGCTCCTTTTGTCATGGGGACGAGGACGCACCGGGCGTCCTTACCGTACCCCAAAGAAAGTGGTACTGAGGTCTCCTTGGCTCCTGGCAACAATGACATGGGGACGTGGCACCCGGACACCTTCTGCCCTCCATGGGTGACACCGAGGTTGCCTTGGCACGGGGGACACGGGTATGGCGACGTGGACATTGGGTCCCTCTTGGCCCTGGGGTGCTGTTCACTGTTCTGTTACCATTTCTGCTCAGAGGGAAAAGACAGAAGGCCTTGGGAGGTCACCTGATGGCCCTTTTCATCGTCTGGCTCACCTCTGCTGCCCGTCTGCCTCAGCATGAGCGTAAGGCCTTTGGCTTTTGGACACTCTCTCTCTTTGCATTTGATTTTTTAGCTCATATTCTAATGATCTTGTATTATTTTGTATTACAGAGTGTATCTTGCATTCCGATATCTTTTCTAGCAAATTAGTTTGTTTCCTTTCAGATCGTCGCTTCTGTTCTGTTTCAGAGCCCATCTCTTCATCCTTTTTCCCATTTCCATTTTCCAGGGTGCGGATCCACAGATCCCCCCTCCCGCCAGTCACGGAACCAGGCCGAACCAGCCCACAGACCACTGACACTCTGGTCGAGGTGCCACAAGATAAAGCTGAGTAGCTCAGCGGTGGTAGCGGTGGTAGGAGGACGGTTGGATGGGATGATCTTGTAGCTCCACTCCAGCCTCGTGTTTCCACGGTTCCATCACCGTTCTGAGCTGCTCTCTGTGTCTGGGCCGTATTGCTTCAGGCGCTCCCTGCTCTCACTGCACAGAGGTGCTCTCTGAACTGCACACTGCATCTGCAGTGCTCCTGTTTCCTTCAAGCCATTCTCCTCGGCAGTTCCCAAAGGATCACAGAACCACCGAATGGCTTGGCTTACAAGAGACCTTTCAGATCATCCAGTTCCAATCCCCTGCTCCAGGCTGGGACACCTCCCACAGCCCCGTCCTGCCTGGCACTGAATGCCTCCAGGGCGGGGGCATCCACAAGCTGCTCCCTCTCAGGAAATAATTTCCTCCTAACAGCCAGCCTAAATCGACCTCCTTCCACTTGAAAGCCGTTTCCCCTCATCCTGTCGCCACACACCCTTATCAAACAGCCCCATCCCAGCTTTCACGGAGCCTCCCTTCAGGCACTGCCCACGACTTCAGCTCGCCGCTCGGCGGGCACTGACGGAAGCTGCTGGCAGCTCACCCCGTTTCTCCCTGCAGAAGAGGCCTCTGCACACCCAGCACCTTCACGCCGTCTGCATTAACAATACCTTCCGCGGCTCACACGCCTCTCTCGCTCCTCCCATTTCTTTCTACGCCCGTCTTGCCAAGCCGCCGCCCATCGTAAACACGCGCCGTTTGCAGTAAGCGAAGCGCTGCACCGCAGCCGCTCCCATCGCTTCCCGCAGCGCTGCGGAACGGGACGGGACGGGACGCGGCGCAGCACAGTGCGGGCCGGGCCTCACCGCCTGCTCTCAGCCGCCCCGCGCAGCGCTGCTGCAGCCCCGCGCCGTCCGCGCGTCCCGCCGGCCGCCACCCACCGCCCCCCGGCTCCGCGCCGCAGCCCCGGATACGAACTGCGGCAGCGCCGCTCCCGCCCCGTCCCACTCCCCCCCCGCCCGTCCGCACTCCGCTTCCGCTGCAGGCCGGACGTGACGTCATCATGGCGCGCGGTGACGTCACGGCGCGTCGCTCGCTCCGCCGGCTTTCTCCGCTGCGATCGTTCCCCGCTCCGTCCCGGGGCTTCCTGCGCTGCTCCACGGCCTGAAGCCGCACCGGGCCGCGTTTCCCGCAGGCGCTGCCCGCTGTCCCCGGGGGCGAAGCGCCGCCCGGCTGACGGCTGAGATCCTCTCCCGTGTCGCCGTTTGCTGTCAGCCGCCTCGGGCTCTTGGTGCCGAACGGGAAGTGCTGAGTCCCGGCCCGGCCCGCTGATGGATCGCCTGGCAGCGGGCCGCTCAGCCCTGGCAGCGCAGGTAGCGGCCGTGCAGCGGTGTGATCGGAAGGGGGGGCCGCACCTCTCTTGGATCCCGTGGAAGGGCCTTCCTGGAGATCCTTCCTTTTCCCCGTGCGCCGAGATGTTCCGAGATCGCTGAGCAATCTTCCTGGTCGTCCCTTTGCCGTTCCGCTTCCGTATCTCTTTCTCGCTATGCTGCCACAGCCGCCCAATAGCATCAGTGCCCCACAGCGCCGCACCAAAAACTGTCATTGCCGCGTAGCAGCGCTCCCCCGTGCTGCTCCCCCCTAACAACGCTGCCCCGTAGCATCATTGCTCCACTGTGTCCCTGCCCCACGGCGTCACTGCTTCTGTGGCGACTGCTGAGTCCCGGCCAGATCCGCTGATGGATTGCCTGGGAAAGGACTGGTCAGCCCTGGCAGCACAGGCGAAGGCAATTTAGCTGTGTGATAGGAAGGGTTTGAGCCTGGCTGCACTCCCTTAGACCCCATCAACGGGCTGACAGCCACTGGGGAGGATCTGTGGTCGGAGATCCCTCCTTGGTTGTGGTGCAAAAGGGCCTGGCCTCTTCTCCCAGGCAAACATTAGGACCCGAGGAATCGGCCAGAAGTTGTACCAGAGGAGGTTGAGGTTGAACATTAGGAGAAACTTTTTCTCTCCGAGGGCGGTCAGGCATTGCAATGGCTGCCCAGGGAAGTGGTGGAGTCGCCATTCCTGGCAGTGTTGAAGAGGTGCCTGGATGAGGAGCCAGGAGATATGGTTTAGTAGCTTGTGGTACTAACAGGAATAGGAGGGGGGTTGGATTAGATAATCTTGTAGGTCATTTCCAACCTTGCGATTCTATGATTGTATGATTCTAGGGACAGCAGCATTCCCTCACACCTATCCTGCCAATTCTTTAGTCCCAGCAGGCTCCAGTGAAACTCCTGCCTTTCACCTGTGACAATCGCAGTCTGCGGGAGAGCAACAAATGGCCACACCGCATCCATCTCAGGTAGGAGTGTGGGGAAGCAAGCAAGTGAGGGATGTGAATGCATGGGGAGAGGGAGGTGCCTTTCTCTTCTCTGCCAGCTGCTTCCCTGGGCCGTGGCAGTTCCCAGCAAGGAGCCTCTTTGCTTGCAGGAGCCCGTGACCTTTGCGGAGGTGGCCGTGTATTTCAGCAGGGAGCAGTGGGCGCTGCTGGACCCTGCGCAGCGAGCGCTGTACCGGGACGTGATGCTGGAGACGTACGCGTGCGTGGCCTCGCTGGGTGAGGGCTTTGCTGCCTTTCGTCCTTGTTAGGGCTCCTTTGGCTGTGTAGAACGACACTGCAAGCAGGGCTTAGAATAATTGCAGTGTAGTTACTTGTGGAGGAACGCGGCAGCACCAGAAACAAAATGTAGGTAAGTTTCTCATATGTTTCAGGAAGGATTAGCTGCTTAGAACTCTGAGAAATGGTCCAGAGTCACTGCTGGCCAGCAGCCATCAGCTGGGAGGGGTTGGATCAGCTCCTGCAAGCTGTCTTTGTGTGGCTGTGTTGCATATTGCTGCGTTGCATTGTGCCGCCGTGCTCCAGCAACCTGACAACTCTGGTTATTTGCCTTTTTTTTCCCTTTTCCATTGAATTATTGCAAACCTTTATGAAGCCTTGGGCACTAAGCAGTTTGGATACAATTTAAAAAAAGAAATCCTAAGGTGAACATTAGAGAAACTGTTCCTGCATAATTTTCAGGTACGTAGAGGTCGTGTTGGGCTTCAAAGCAAGCCAGTATGTGTTGGCCCAGTGTCATCCAGGCCCTTATTGTGGTTACAGAAGTTGGGAGGGACACCGAGTGGAGTTGTTGGAGAAGCAGCTGTGCCAGAATCATCGGAATGCTTTCACGTCCTCTGCTTCTGTATTTAACCTCCATGTCCAGCCCCCAAACCTATGGTGGTCTCCCTGCTTGAAGGAGAGGAAGACCCCTGGGACCCAGATGTGCATGTCCTGGAGGACATGGCAGGAGATCTCAGCCCAGGTGAGATGGTGGGGGACAGGAGGAGGTTGGGCTGACAAGAACCATCTTTGTCTGAGAAATAGTTTAGGCCTACTGTGTTATTTCTGGCTTTTCTCTGTCATCCAGCAGGACGTGGAATCACAACTGTTCAGGAGGGTGTACAGAATTGTGATGTGACTGAAAGGCGGTGTGGAAGTGTCTTGGTGGAAGAAATCAGAAAGGATATCCAAGGGGATCTGAAACAAGTAGAGCACCTCAAGAAGCAACAGGGAAACCCTCCAGGAGAGACTGTGAGGAATCTCCTGGACTGCAGCACAGGTCAAAAACAGCCTGAAGATGCAAGGAGTAAGGAAGTGTGCCAGGAGAAAAGGCAGAACCCACGTGCTGAGTGTGGAAAAAGCCTGAAAAGCTTTTTAACCACTGTTGTGTATGCTCAATGAAGAGATTGTACAAGTGTTCAGATTGTACCAAAAGCTTCAAATGGAAATCCCACCTCGCCTTCCGTCAGCGCATCCACAGAGGAGAGAGATCCTTTAGGTGTTCTGAGTGTCCAAAGAGCTTCAAGAACAGTTTCCCCCTCACCTGCCACCAGTGCATCCACACAGAGGAGAGACCCTTCAAGTGTCCTGAATGTCCAAAGAGCTTCAGAAGCAGTTCGAACCTCATCCGCCACCAGCGCATCCACACAGGAGAGAGGCCCTTCCAGTGCCCTGAGTGTGGGAAGAGCTTCAGGAGCAGCTCTGACCTCATTGTGCACCACCGCATCCATACGGGGGAGAGGCCTTTTAAGTGTCCGGAGTGTCCAAAGAGCTTCAAAAGCAGCGCTCATCTCACCTCCCACCAGCGCATCCACACACAGGAGAGACCCTTCCAGTGCCCTGAGTGTGGCAAGAGCTTCAAAAGCAGTTCTGACCTCATTGTGCACCTGCGCGTCCACACGGGATACAAACCTTACAAGTGCTCAGAGTGCGGGAAGAGCTTCAAAAGAAGCTCGGAATTGAAGTGCCACCGCCGTGTCCACACGGGGGAGAGACCCTTTGAGTGCTCCGAGTGTGGGAAGAGCTTCGGCAGCACTTCCAGCCTCGCTTACCACCAGCACATCCACACGGGAGAGAGACCTTACCAGTGCTCTGAGTGTGAGAAGAGCTTCAAAACCTCTTCCTACCTGACTGTCCACCAACGAATCCACACGGGAGAGAGACCCTACCGGTGCTGTGAGTGTGGGAAGAGCTTCAGCAGCAGTTCTAAACTCAACTCCCACAAGCGCATCCACAGAGGAGACAGCCCATAAAAGTGCCCTGAGTTTGTGCAGAGCTTTACTTTCAGGTCCTGTCTCCCTGCCTTCCTGCACATCCTCGCGAGAGACGGAGCCTGTGGGTCCCCAGACTCCTTCATCTGGCAGGTAAAGTGCTGCAGCCAGCAGGGAGAGCTCTGTAACGTCATCCTCACTGTAATGAAGATGTGCTCCAGTGTGTGAACGGGGAGATCCACCGTGAGCTGGGCGGGGAATGGTGTGCGTGGCTGAGAGCAGGGAAATACAAACCCCATCCATGTTTGGGTACCCGACCTCGGCCGCAGGACACATCCAACCCCTCCTGTTCCCTTCCTCATCCTGGTTATCGCCTATGAAAATCGACTTGTGCTTTTCCTGTCGTCTCCTGCTCACCACTCCGTTACCTGTTGCAGAGCGACTGCCTGGTGACATTTTACTGCTGTCAGCACGTCAAGTCACAGCAGCTGCAACACAGGTTTGAAGTTTCCTCATGGACACCCAGCTTCGGAAGTCCCTGAGCTGGCAAACCCCTTTCCCTGCATGGGGCGCAGGAGAGAGCACTGTAAAGAGAGCACTGTGCCCAGCTGGGGTAAGAGATACCCTGCGTGCGTCCCGCTCCAGGGTCACGATTGCCACTCCAGTGCTCAGAGGAGGTGCTCACATTTTCCCTTGGGTGTATTTGGATCAGCCAGCCCCTGATTTCTCCCTGATCAGCAGGAGAGTTTTCCCGTGCTTTGGATGGACTGCGGCTCCCTTCTTGACCTTACATCCATTCTTGGGGTAAATGCTCTTCCCCCTTCCCTCCTGCCATGGGAATTATGCATACTGCTCTCTTTCAGCTGGGAACAGGGTGGATACGCGAAGGAGCTTGGAGTTGGCACTGACATGGCTGAGAGCCTCTGGGTACTGGTTAAGGGATGAGACAATTAAGTGGGAATCTAACGTAAGACGGTGATCCCAATTAATGGTTCTGTATGGAATTAAAGTGGGATCTCCAGAACAGCATCTCTTGCCCTAGGCACTGGAGTCCATCAGTGCTGGTCGCCATTTAAGAGCCATCTCTCAAGAGCACTTGTGCAGGTAGAAGCAGACTGCTGGTAGTCAGGAAGCGGGACTGAAGTCCAGCTTATCCGAGCAGAGTTTTCCTCTTGGAGTTCAGGTGGAAAGGAAAGTGAATGGACACTGCAGCCAGGTCAGGCGGCATGGGGGAACAACAGAAATGCTGTCTACTGTTCTGAGGGTAAGGTTTATGCTGTCCAAGCTCAGTTAAAGCTGAAGCTGGCCACTAATGTGGGGGACAATGGAAAGGTTCGTGTAACCAGCAAAAGGAGGATCGTGGATGACATCTCTTCGTTACTTGATGAGGTTGATCACCTCATACGTCGGGCCATAGAACAAGCAGTCACAGAATGCACGTTTTTTCACCTCTACATTGAACACTGTAGATGGGTCGTGGGCCTCCTGGAGCCCCGAGTTGAGGAGCACGACTGCACTGATGATAAGCTTCCAGTGGACTGCGAACGTGGGTGGGATTTGCTGCTCCAGTTGCATGCGTGTAAATCTATTGGAGTTTATCCACGGATCCTGGGAATTGCAAGATGTCCCAGTTGTCTGGAAGCTGGGAAACATCTCAGTTTGTAGGAAGGGCGAGAAGGAAGACCTTGCCAATTCCAGTCCTGCCAGTCTCTCTTTGGTGCCTGGCAAAATTACAGAGGAGGTCATTGCGAGAGTTACTGAAAAACGCTTCAAAGGCAGCACAGTCGCTGTTGTCAGTACAGGTTAGGCCTGACTTTCTGGAGAGGAGCTTTGAGGAGCAGGACCTGGATGACCAGCAGGTTGACTGTGAGCCCGCAGCGTGCCCTTGTGGCCAAGAAGGCCACTGGTATCCTAGGGTGCATCAGATGAGTGTGGTCATCAGGTTGAGGAAGGTGATCCTCCCCCTCTGCTCTGCCCTTGGTGAGGCCACATCTGGAACACGGCGTTCAGTTCTGGGCTCCTCAGTACAAGACAGACAAGGAATTGGCAGAGGGAGTTTAGCAGAGGGCTGCGAAGATGACGGAGGCTGGGAGCAGCTCCCTTATGAGTCAGAAGAGCAACAGGTCTGGGGGAATCAGATGTTAGCTGGTGTGGTAAGCATGGGGTGCCCTGAAACGCGGTGAGATGAGGTCAGCATGGCCACAGCCCCCAGCACAGCCTCCGCTGCCCTGCTGCTCACTTTCTGCATTGCGCAGCAATAGAAGAGCCACAGTGCCAGGCAGAGGAGCCCCTCGTCAAGACCTCCGTGCCCATCAGCAGCTTTGAGATTCAGCTGGGATTGAGCTGTTTTCTTCACAGTGGCTGGTGTGACGTTGTGTTTTGCTTCCAGGAGAAAAGCAACGTTGCTGACACACCGATGTTTATAGCTGCTGCTCAGCAGTGCTGTACAGAGCCAAGGCCATTCACAGCGAAGGGCCCAGGCAGTTGGGAGGGAGGTGAATTAGGACAACTGAAAGTGGCCAAAGGAATATTCCGTGGCATGTGACATCAAGCAGAAGGAGTTTTGAAGGGGGTGGGTGTTCGCTTTGCTCAATCTGCTGTTTGAGGGGCAAGCTGGGCACTGTTCTGGAAGCGGCGAGCAATTGCTTGTGCATCACTTGTTGCATACATTGCTATGGAGATGTGTTTGTCATAACGATTATCCTTTTCCTTTCCTCCGTGTTAGTAAATAACTGTTTTGTTTGCTATTCTCTGGCCCATGGCACTGGGAAGGGGGGTGAGCGAACATCTGTGCGAGCCGCCTCAGGTTCAGCCACAACAGGAGGATCCCGTGGGAGTCAGACCTGAAGGGTAAAGGGGTCCAGGAAGGCTGATGAAAGGAAATAGGTCCTGCTGGCCCCCGCTCAGCACTGCTGTTCCTCATGGGTGAGCACTGCGTCCTGCCCTGTTTAATATCTCTGTTGACAATCTGGATGAGGGCATTGGGTGCATCATCAGTAAGTTTACAGATGACACCAAGCTAGGGGCAAGTGTCAATCTTCCTACGGGTAGAAAGGCCCTACAGAGGGACTTGGGCAGACCGTCTAATGGCTGAAGGTCACAAAGAACAATGCCAGGTCCTGCACACTGGGCACAACAACCCCATGGTTGTTACATGGTTACAGGCTTGGGGCAGAGTGGCTGAAAAGCTGAGCGGAGGAAACAGACCTGGGGGTTTGTCAGCAATTGACCCAGGCCTGGGGAAAAATGAAAGGGAAAAATGGAAAAGGGTGGGGAGATGGGCCTGGAAACAAAACAGCAGCAACAACCTGAGGAGAAACAAACTAGTTTACTAAAAAAGATATCAGGATGCAAGGTAACACACTATAATACAATAAATTAGAATTGAAGCTAATAAGTCAAGTAAAAAGATAGTATCCAAAAACTGAAGGCCTTACTCTCATGCTGAGGCAGATGAGACATCTAGCCAGGCCAAGCAGAAGAGGAAAAAGGGAACATCTCGCAATATGCAAACAGTTTTATCCTTACTTCTGAGCAGAAAATGGAATCAGAATAACACAAAGTCCTCTTAGGGGTGCAGAATGTGGTTCTTCCCTTCTGAGAAGCGGGTACCCAGATGTATGCACAGTCCATGGAACTGGAGCATTAACTGTTGTACTTGCAGTGTGGTCCATCACATGTATCACACTGTGGTACGAGTGGAATACCCATAACCCAAAATCATAAGGCCATGACAGGGTGTTGTTCTGCAGTCAGCTGAACGTGAGCCAGCGATGAGCACAGGAGGCCAAAAGGCCACTGGCATCCTGGCTTGTATCAGCAGCAGGAGCAGGAGGCCATCGTCCCCTCAGATGCTGTGTTCAGTGCTGGGCCGCACACAGCAAGGCGCCGAGGGCCTGGGATGTGTCCAGAGAAGGGCGACGGAGCTGTGAAGGCTGGAGCAGAGATCTTGTGGGGAGCAGCTGAAGGAACTGGAAGTGTTCAGTCCAGAGAAGAGAAGGACTGGGAGACGTCATCGCTCTCTGCTACTCCCTGAAAGGGAGGCGGAATTCGGCCTCTTCTCCTGGATGGCGAGTGATAGGAAGGGAGGGAATGGGGTCACGTTGTGCCGGGGGGGGGTCGGGTTGGGTATTAGGAAGAGTTTCTTCTCAGAAGAGTGATTGCTGGAACAGGTTGCCCAGGGAATTGGTGGAGTCACCGTCTCTGGAGTTGCTTAAGCAAAGGACGGATGTAGAATTTAGGGGCGTGTTTTGGTGGGTGCTCCTGGTGGTGGGTGGCTGATTGCAGTAGATGAGACCTTGGAGGTCTTTTCCAACCTTAATGATTCAATGATTCTCTGAAGTCCAGTCCCTGCCTTGCTGGCCTGTCCTTCCAAAAAGTGTCATAACCATCCACGTGGGCCTTCCAGTCATCAGAGCTGTTCCCACTGTGTCTCTGTGGTAGCCATAAGATCACGGTTCTGCAGCCTCGCACAGCCCTCAGATTATTCCCATTTATTCCCCACGCTGCATGTGCTGATGTACGGACACTTCAGAGAAGAAAAGGCAGTCGAGATGCAGGCAACTCTAGAGGAGATCCCTGCTTGTTCCAAGCTGCAGAGCGAGGCCTGAAGCAGAGCTCTGTTTCTGTGGGTCACCAGGGACCAGGCTGAGTGTTGTCTGCAGTTGCAGTAGCGTTGTTAAACCACCCATCTTTCTCTGTCCAATACCACAAAGCTTTTTATCTGCTTTGTGCAGCTCAGCTCCCTGCCCTAAGAGATGATGCTCCTTGTGCAGGGACTGGCCTTATCAGCAGGAGGAGGTTCGAGGCACTGGGTGAAATGGACAGCCTGAACAAAGTCTCCTTTCATAGTGGTTCTGTCTGGGTGAACGCAGACATGGCCGGGCATTTCCCTGTGTGGGCCCTGGATCCAGCCCTCACGTGAGCGCTCACCACCGTAGTGTCAGAGGTGAAGAGCCCCGTCACTTCTGCCTCTGCCCAAACTACTGAGGTCACTATGAAAGGAAGGCAGGGGGACTCAGGGGTCTCATCATCTCTGTCCTCATCGTCTCCCAGTCAAAACCATCGCCCTCATATTATCTCTGTGGTTCCCAAGGTTCACCTCATGGTAGCTCGGTGCTCACCTTGTGATCCCTTGTTGCACTTGAAAGCCCCAGCTGCTCCTGCTCACCTCCGAGAGCACTGAGACGCTGGTGTGCACCACGGGCCTGACCATGGCCACGTCCCACTGCTGAGCTCCATGGGGGTCCCTACAGATCCTTGGGCCACCAAAGAGTGTCTGAGTTGGAACGAGGACACTGCGACAGGAACACTGGGTGGTCATGGGGTGTCACAGCCAAAACACGACACAGTCATGAGGTGACCATGGATAAGAATGTGGTGACAAATAGGTCAGGGATCAGAAGGGGAAAGTCTGGCCATCATAGGGTGACCATGGGTAATCATGTGGGTCACATGGGGCAAAGATGGTGTTGTGATGGGGTGACAAAGAGGTGACCACTGGGTGACCACAGCGGGGTGTCATTGGGTGACCACAGTAAGGAAGGGGAAGGACCACGGAGTCAACAGCTCAGCGAGTTCTAATTGAGAAGGGGACAGAGCAGGCTGTGCAGGGGCAGCAGGGAACGCGGTGACAACACAAAGGGAAACTCTAGCTCCTGGCTGGGGAGCGCAGGACATGCTGGTGGAGCAGCAGTGTGGGGCAGCTCGTAATTCAGAATCCCTGCAGGGAAAGGGAGGACCAGAGTGGTTTTCGGGCTCCTCTGAGCACAGTGATGCCACTGGGGAATGAGAAATTACCTGGAGTGGTTGGATTGGGGTGCCCTGAAACTGAGCGAGACGAGGTCAGCATGGTCACAGCTCAACACCACTGCATCCCCCAGCACAGCCCCAGCTGCTCCTGCTCACCTCCAAGAGCACTGAGACTCTGGTGTGCACCACAGGCCTGACCATGGCTACGGCCAGCATCGACACAGGCACCGTCCTCGTGCTCAAGGTCGTGCAGATGAATGGTGCCTGCAGCCACAGGAGCCCGCTGTGATGAGGCTGAGCGTCCCGTGTGCCATCATAGCCCCGCATCCCCATCCTGACCCACACATCCCCTTATGTGGGTCCTGTCCTTGGGGTGCTTGGTCAGAGGAAGGGTGCTTGGACACAGCCCAGCCCCACTGCTGACCTGTGTCACCGCAGCGTTTGCAGCCCCGTGCAACAGCGCTGTGAGGTCTGGGAGGTCCGTGAGGGCAACCGTGGGTGACCATGGGGTGATCAAAGGGGACCACGGGGAGAACATGATGTGACCGCGGTAAGACATCAGAGGTAACAGCCCATAAGAATGGGGGGCAAAGAGGCGATTATGGGGGTATCTTGGGATAACCACGGGGAGAGCAGGGGGACCATCGGGTGACCATGAAGTTACTATGAAGGAAGTGTGAAGGAACTGTGGGGTGAGCATGGAGAGACCGTGGGCAGAATATTGTGTGGCCACCAACTGACCATGCAATGACACTGGGATGAGCATAGAGCGACCACAGGCCGGAAAGAATGGAAAGAGCCTGGGAAGTGGCACAGGAAGCAACTGAGCGTGTCCCACAGAGCAGTTAGCAGCAGGGCTGGTGGCATCTGTCACTGGTGTATGGAGAGAGCTCTGCGTCACAGGGCTGCCTCTTACATTTGGCCACCATGAAATACTGGAGGGGGAAGAGAAATGAAATGAAATGAAATGAAATGAAATGAAATGAAATGAAATGAAATGAAATGAAATGCTGCCCCGGCCACCTCTGAGAGAAGTGAGACCCTGTGAGCGCCCTGGGCCTGGCTGTGGGCACTGTGGAAATCATCTCAAGATGAGAGGTGCTTGTGCCAAGCAGGGCCTCCTGTGAGGAGAGGTAATATCCCGGGTGCCCTCACTGTCTGCATCCCAATCCTACCCCACGCATCCCCTGAATGGGCACCTGCCCTTGGGTGCTGGAGCAGACATGGGGTGACAAACAGGTGAGCGTGGTGAGAGCACTGGAGGATCGTGGGTTCGCTATGGATGGACCGTGGGGATCATGGATGAAAGGGGGGAGCGTGGAGTAAGCAAGAGGGTGCTGGAGCAAACAGCGGGTGACAATGAGAAGACGAAGGGCAGACAGTGGCATTTCTGTCAGGTGTCCATGCGCAGACGACAGGAGTAATATGAGCGGAACACGGAGTGAGAAAGGGATGATAAAGAGTTGAGCATGGTGCGAGGACAGTGAAACCGCGTGGCAACCACTGAGCGAGCGTGGCAATGTCATGGAGGGAGCACGGGGCCACCCGTGGGGCTCAGGCAGTGGTGGAGCACTGGGAGCGATACGGCTGTTCCCAGGCAGAGCAGCGGCAGCGAGCATTCCTCGGAGCAGACAGACAGACAGACACACAGACGGACGGCACGCAGGACGGCGCCGTCACGCCAGGGCTGATCGAGGTACCCGCAATGGAGATCTGCCCGGAGACGGGTGATGCCGCCCAGCCCAGGCACTCCCTGCTCCCTTCATCCTCCTCCCACAGCAGCCATGGGGAGCGGCCGTGCGGTGGCGGCCGGGGCCGTGCTGGTGGCACTGATGGCGCTGGGAGCACGGCTGGCCGCTGGCACGCGGCCCTCGGGTGAGCGCGGAGAGCCGGGGTGGGGATGGTGCAGGCCGGTCCCTGCCGGGCTCTCCCGGCACCCATCCCAGCCCCGCGCGCGGCGTTCGGAGCCCCGGGGCTCCGGGACGCCAGCGGCACCGCAGCCGTGGGGGGCGCGGGGTGGGGCCGGGACGGAGCGAGGGCGGGGAGGGGCTCTCGGGTCCGGCGAGGGGCCGCTGCGCTCCGTGACGGCGCCCTCTCCCCGCAGCGTTTTTCCAGTGGAGCGCTACAGTTGAGTGCCGCTTCCTCAATGGCACCGAGCGGACGAGGTTTCTGGTGAGGCACGTCTACAACCGGCAGCAGTACGTGCACTTCGACAGCGACGTCGGTCTCTTCGTGGCCGACACGGTCCTGGGAGAGCCTTCTGCTCGGCTCTTCAACAGCCAGCCGGACGTGCTGGAGAAGAACAGGGCTGCGGTGGAAATGCTCTGCAACTACAACCACGAGACAGTGGCCCCTGTGACGCTGCGGAAGAGAGGTGAGTTCACGCGTCCGCACAGCTCGCGACGGGCACAGCGCTGATGAGCACACGCGGCGCTCTCACAGCCCGTCCCCAACGCTCTCCCTCTGTCCCCCGGCAGAGCCCAAGGTGAGGATCTGTGCGCTGCAGTCGGGCTCCCAGCCCCAAAGCGACCGGCTGGCTTGCTACGTGACGGGCTTCTACCCACCCGAGATCGAAGTGAAGTGCTTCCAGAATGGGCGGGAGGAGACGGAGCGCGTCGTGTCCACGGACGTGATCCAGAACGGGGACTGGACCTACCAGGTGCTGGTGCTGCTGGAGACCAGCCCACGGCACGGGGACAGCTACGCGTGCCGGGTGGAGCACACCAGCCTGCGGCAGCCCATCGGCCAGCCCTGGGGTAAGGCCCCTCGCCCCTGTCGGCTCTGGGGGGAGTGGGAGCGTGGCCTTCAGAACCTGAGCTCCCCTTCCTGTCCCTGCAGAGCCGCTGGTGGATGTGGGCAGGAGCAAGCTGCTGGTGGGCATCGGGGGCTTGGTGGTGGGGCTCGTCTACCTGGCGCTGGGGCTCTTCCTCTTCCTGCACACTAAGAAAGGTGAGCAGTGGGGCAGCGGGGCTGTGCTGTGGGGAAGGAGATGGCGGCGGTGAGCTGTGGCCACGCTCGCTCAATGTGACCATGACCTCGTCTCGCTCAGTTTCAGGGCACCCCGATCCAACCACTCCAGGTAATTTCTCATTCCCCCAGTGACAGCGCTGTACCCAGGAGCCCCAGGCTCACTGCGGTCCTCATTTCTCCCCCTTTCCCTGCAGGGATCCTCAACTAGCAGCTGCTGCTCCACCAGCATGTCCTGCGCTCCCCAGCCAGGAGCTAGAGTTTCCCTTTGTGTTGTCACCGCGTTCCCTGCTGCCCCTGCACAGCCTGCTCTGTCCCCTTCTCAATTAGAACTCGCTGAGCTGTTGACTCCGTGGTCCTTCCCCTTCCTTACTGTGGTCACCCAATGACACCCCACCGTGGTCACCCAGTGGTCACCTCTTTGTCACCCCATCACCCATCACAACACCATCTTTGCCTCATATGACCCACAGGGTTACCCGTGCTCACCCCACACTGGCCAGACTTTCCCCTTCCGATCCCTTCACTCTCAAGCCATTTTTCCCCCTGAGACTCCTTCCTAACAACCCTGTGGTCACCCGATGTTGCCACCGTGTTCTCAGCATGCCAACCCATGTCCTCACCATCATTACCCCGCGGTCATCCCGGAGACACACATTCTGCACCCACTTTCTCACCCATCTCCTGGCTGTGTTACGCTTAGGCCGTGACACCTGGCGATCACTCGGTGTTCCCATCGAAATGACCTCGCAGTGTTCTGGTTCCAGCTCAGACACTGCGAGTAGCACGCTGCTTTTTTGGCTGTTGCTGAGTGATGGAGCGCTCCTGAGGCCGGGCCGGGCCACGGAGAGGGGAAGAACCATTGCCATGATGACGTGGAGCCAGGACAGGTGTCCTCATCCAAGCATACGTGACGCCATGCGGAAGGCCTTAAAGCTGTGTGGAGTTGGGCAGAATACAGACGATGCTTGACGCTCGGGGATTGGCTGGGCGTTGGGTGGAGGGCGCTGACACGTCTTGCCCCATGGCCACCCCATGCCCACCTCTTCACAACCTCATTCCCACCTGACGCTCCTCCCCGTGATCCTATGGTGTTTCCCTCTGTGTTCCCTTCACTGTCATCCCGTGCTCAGCCCGCGGTCGCCCCACGGCCTCGCCATGATCCCACCCCTCGTGATCACCGCGTGTTCCCTGTGTCATCCATCGCTGAGGAAAACGCTCCGAATCGTAGATTTTTAAGCAGGCAAAGATCTTTGTGATAGCAGCAAAGTCTGTCCATCATTGCAACAATGGGCCCCTGCTGGCCAAAGGCAGAAATTGCACAGCAGTCCATTCGTTCAGTTCCATCCCCGGGTCCGACGCGGTAATTCCTCTCCTGGCACAGGTTGGTGGAGCTTCTCCTGGTCACCATCTTCCCGACGCTGTTGCCACAATAGAAGGTCTGGTACCAACTGGTTGTTTTTAGGTATGGCCTGTGCTTTCCTACACAGGTAGGAGGGCAGTGTTTCCAAAGGGAAGCACATTGGTTCCGTGCTGCGCTAGGCTCTCCCCGCCCTGCCTGTTTCCTTTGCCTCGTGCCTGTCTCAATCCTACCTGAGCCGAAACGCCCCAATCCGCACTTTACTCCGTTCAGCAGCTTTCTTGGTGAAAAACAACTTGTATCACTGTTTCGCAGGAAGGTTTTCAGTTCGGTCAGGGCCGAGACTACAGACAGAAAACACTGGAAACTTCCACTGCAAAAACACCACCCGCCTCTCACATTTTCCAACCTTATTGATTCCGTGATCCAAACGCCAACCCCAGCTCGGGTCGGTATGAAAAAGGGCTCCAAAGGGAAGTCCCAGCGGCTGTCAGCTTCATTTGGAATGTCTTTCAAAACCCCGCGTGCAGAGGGAGCCTGCTCCATCCCTACGCCCTGAACCAAGCACACATTCTCATCAAACACTCCCCACCGAGGGCTCATCCTAACAACTGCTGCCCATGGAAGGCTCCGTGTTGCCTCATCTGCCTCTCATGAGGAGTACGGAAGGAAAGTAGGAAGGGAGGCAGGGAGGGATGGAGATAAGAAGGGAGGCAGGGAGGAAAGAAGGAAGGAGGCAATGAAGGAAGGAAGGGAGGGAAAAACTCAAAATTAAGAAGAGATGGGGGCAGTTGACCCGGTGCAGTGAGGGAAATTGGAGGTGAAAAGGCAATAAATGGTGCCGTGGACCATGGGGGGGGGGGAGTGGGATGTAAATGGCTGCACTGATACTCATTCAGGTCAAACACAACCAGACGCCCATAGGCACCGATGCAGCTCCTTGGCCACGCCCCGCGCCGTAACCTGGCCACGCCCCCCGGGTCGTCTCAGTTTTGAAGCCACGCCCCTACCATTCCTGGCCACGCCCCCATGCCCTGCGCCCGTCGCTTTTTGGCTAAACCACGCCCTTTCCGTTTGGCCACGCCCCCGCACGCCGTCGGTCCGATTCCAGCCACGCCCATCGCCGTTAACCACGCCCCTTCGTGCCATCAGCCACGCCCCCTTTCTGTCCTGGCCCCGCCCCGTACCACGCTGCTCTTTGCCCGCACCGCGCCCGGTGCCGCTCCCGAAGCCACCGAACGGACCCGGTTCCGGCCCCCGGACTCACGGGCCCGCTGCCACACCCGGACCCGCACCGCGGACCCATGGACGGCGGTCTGCGGCCCGGATCCCCGCAGCCGGGACCGGAGCCGCGCTCCGGACTCGCGGAACCAGACCCGAACGCGGGCGCGGACCCGGCGCCCGGACCCGCGAACGCGGAGCCCGATCTGAATCGCGGTCCCGAGGACCCGGACCCGGATCGGCGTCCCGGCGGCGCGGAACCGGTTCCGGCCCCGGCGCCCGCCCCGTGCCGTTGGTTCCTGGAGGGCCGCTGCCGTTTCGGGCCGCGCTGCCGCCGCCCGCACCCGGGGCGGAGTCCGACCGCCGGCCCGGAACCGGCAGCGACGCGGGACGAACCGGGAGCGGCGGGGAAGAAGCCGCCGCTGCGCCGCGCCGCCGCCGTCCTCAGCCGCCTCCGCTGGGACCCTCGAGCGGACCCCGCGGCCGCCACCGTGGAGCACCGCGACCGCTTCGTGGGCGTCGTGGAGCGGCCGCTGCTGGAGTTCTTCACGGGGCCGCTGTGCGACGCGGGGCCCGCGGACCTGGCGGTGCCCGAACACCGCATCGTGCGCATCCGCTACCGCGGGCGCTGCGTGTGGGACCGGGAGAAGCGCATCGATCGCGTGTTCGGGTCGGGGGGGGGGACGGGGACCATGCGGGAGGTGCTGGAGGAGCTGGGGGAGGGCTGGGGGGAGTGAGGGAGGGCGACGAACCCCCGAAATGCCGTCGGGGGCCCTTCTGTACCCCGGAGGTGACGGTGAGGTCCCCTCTGTGCTGGGGACGTGGGGATGCGCACTCCTGGAGGAGCCCTCGGCTGCAGTGACGTGGGCACAGGGTTCCCTTCTGTATCCAAAAAAAGGGCACCAAAATCCCTTTTGCACTGGGGACACGGGGACGTGCACATGGGATCCCCTTGGGCACAGGCTCACGGACATAGGGCGCACACACGCTTGGGGCCCTTCTGTACCCTGAAAGTGACACGGACGTCCCTTTAGCACTGGGATAACATGGCGGTGACATGAACGCCTCACCCTGTTCTGTAGTCCCACGGTGACAGTGAGGTCCTCTCAGCACTGGGGATGTCGGGGACCCTTCTGTGCCACAAACACACGGAGATGGACACTTGGACCCCAGAGGTGACAGTGGTGTCCCTTTGGCATCGGGGACATGGATGTGGGGGACCCTTCTGGTACCCCAAAGGTGACACTGAGGTCCCCTCGGCCCTGAGGACAGGAAAACCTGGACCAGGACACCGGGCTCCTTTTGTCATGGGGACGAGGACGCACCGGGCGTCCTTACCGTACCCCAAAGAAAGTGGTACTGAGGTCTCCTTGGCTCCTGGCAACAATGACATGGGGACGTGGCACCCGGACACCTTCTGTCCTCCATGGGTGACACCGAGGTGGCCTTGGCACGGGGGACACGGGTATGGCGACGTGGACATTGGGTCCCTCTGGGCCACGGGGGGGACGTTGATGCCAAAGCCCCCTGAGCTCTGTCACTACACTACAGGGACATGGACAGAGGGTCCCCTTGCCCACGGGTGTACATTCTGTACCCAAACAAAGGCACCAGAATCCCTTCGGTGTCAGGGATGAGGATATGTGAACACGGACACTGGGTCCTCTTGGCCGTGGGGTGCTGTTCACTGTTCTGTTACCATTTCTGCTCAGAGGGAAAAGACAGAAGGCCTTGGGAGGTCACCTGATGGCCCTTTTCATCGTCTGGCTCACCTCTGCTGCCCGTCTGCCTCAGCATGAGCGTAAGGCCTTTGGCTTTTGGACACTCTCTCTCTTTGCATTTGATTTTTTAGCTCATATTCTAATGATCTTGTATTATTTTGCATTACAGAGTGTTATCTGGCATTCCGATATCTTTTCTAGCAAATTAGTTTGTTTCCTTTCAGATCGTCGCTTCTGTTCTGTTTCAGAGCCCATCTCTTCATCCTTTTTCCCATTTCCATTTTCCAGGGTGCGGATCCACAGATCCCCCCTCCCGCCAGTCACGGAACCAGGCCGAACCAGCCCACAGACCACTGACACTCTGGTCGAGGTGCCACAAGATAAAGCTGAGTAGCTCAGCGGTGGTAGCGGTGGGAGGAGGACGGTTGGATGGGATGATCTTGTAGCTCCACTCCAGCCTCGTGTTTCCACGGTTCCATCACCGTTCTGAGCTGCTCTCTGTGTCTGGGCCGTATTGCTTCAGGCGCTCCCTGCTCTCACTGCACAGAGGTGCTCTCTGAACTGCACACTGCATCTGCAGTGCTCCTGTTTCCTTCAAGCCATTCTCCTCTGCAGTTCCCAAAGGATCACAGAACCACCGAATGGCTTGGCTTACAAGAGACCTTTCAGATCATCCAGTTCCAATCCCCTGCTCCAGGCTGGGACACCTCCCACAGCCCCGTCCTGCCTGGCACTGAATGCCTCCAGGGCGGGGGCATCCACAAGCTGCTCCCTCTCAGGAAATAATTTCCTCCTAACAGCCAGCCTAAATCGACCTCCTTCCACTTGAAAGCCGTTTCCCCTCATCCTGTCGCCACACACCCTTATCAAACAGCCCCATCCCAGCTTTCACGGAGCCTCCCTTCAGGCACTGCCCACGACTTCAGCTCGCCGCTCGGCGGGCACTGACGGAAGCTGCTGGCAGCTCACCCCGTTTCTCCCTGCAGAAGAGGCCTCTGCACACCCAGCACCTTCACGCCGTCTGCATTAACAATACCTTCCGCGGCTCACACGCCTCTCTCGCTCCTCCCATTTCTTTCTACGCCCGTCTTGCCAAGCCGCCGCCCATCGTAAACACGCGCCGTTTGCAGTAAGCGAAGCGCTGCACCGCAGCCGCTCCCATCGCTTCCCGCAGCGCTGCGGAACGGGACGGGACGGGACGCGGCGCAGCACAGTGCGGGCCGGGCCTCACCGCCTGCTCTCAGCCGCCCCGCGCAGCGCTGCTGCAGCCCCGCGCCGTCCGCGCGTCCCGCCGGCCGCCACCCACCGCCCCCCGGCTCCGCGCCGCAGCCCCGGATACGAACTGCGGCAGCGCCGCTCCCGCCCCGTCCCACTCCCCCCCCGCCCGTCCGCACTCCGCTTCCGCTGCAGGCCGGACGTGACGTCATCATGGCGCGCGGTGACGTCACGGCGCGTCGCTCGCTCCGCCGGCTTTCTCCGCTGCGATCGTTCCCCGCTCCGTCCCGGGGCTTCCTGCGCTGCTCCACGGCCTGAAGCCGCACCGGGCCGCGTTTCCCGCAGGCGCTGCCCGCTGTCCCCGGGGGCGAAGCGCCGCCCGGCTGCCGGCTGAGATCCTCTCCCGTGTCGCCGTTTGCTGTCAGCCGCCTCGGGCTCTTGGTGCCGAACGGGAAGTGCTGAGTCCCGGCCCGGCCCGCTGATGGATCGCCTGGCAGCGGGCCGCTCAGCCCTGGCAGCGCAGGTAGCGGCCGTGCAGCGGTGTGATCGGAAGGGGGGGCCGCACCTCTCTTGGATCCCGTGCAAGGGCCTTCCTGGAGATCCTTCCTTTTCCCCGTGCGCCGAGATGTTCCGAGATCGCTGAGCAATCTTCCTGGTCGTCCCTTTGCCGTTCCGCTTCCGTATCTCTTTCTCGCTATGCTGCCACAGCCGCCCAATAGCATCAGTGCCCCACAGCGCCGCACCAAAAACTGTCATTGCCGCGTAGCAGCGCTCCCCCGTGCTGCTCCCCCCTAACAACGCTGCCCCGTAGCATCATTGCTCCACTGTGTCCCTGCCCCACGGCGTCACTGCTTCTGTGGCAACTGCTGAGTCCCGGCCAGATCCGCTGATGGATTGCCTGGGAAAGGACTGGTCAGCCCTGGCAGCGCAGGCGAAGGCAATTTAGCTGTGTGATAGGAAGGGTTTGAGCCTGGCTGCACTCCCTTAGACCCCATCAACGGGCTGACAGCCACTGGGGAGGATCTGTGGTCGGAGATCCCTCCTTGGTGGAGCTTTCCCCTGCGAACCTGGAATCTTCTGACAGGGGTGAGCAATCTGCTTTCTTCGTAGCATCTCTTACCCGCATGATGTTCTGTTTGTACATAGGGAGCAGATGAAGGGCCGAGGAACACGTGGATGTGGGACATGAAAGAGACCGAGGTTCCAAATGTCTTCATCCGCTCAGTGCCAAGCTGCAAGACTGCCCTTCAGGAATCATAGGATCGTAGAATCCCAGAGCCCGGACAGCAGGAGGAAAGGGGGGAGTAGAGGAGCTGCCCTGGTGGGAGAGGAGCGCGTTGTTCAGAGGGCCCTGATGAGGTGCAGCCATGGATGCTGGGAGCTGGCACCCTGACAGCAAGGCCTTCATCATCCCTGAGTAGCGTTACTGGGAGAAGGTCCTACAAGCTCCAAATGTCAACCAAAGGAAGAGCAAGAAGGACCTAGGGAGCAAAGGGCTTCAGCGCAGTGCCTGGGAAGGTGCTGGAGCAGCTCGTCCCAGACACCACTCCCAGGCACACGAAGGGGGAAAACAATCAATCAGCGCGGATTCAGCAAGGAGAGCTGATGTCTGACTTGGGGAACCTCTCCGACAACACGCGCGGCGGCCTGATAGGTGAGGGCAGTGCAGAGGATGTCCACCATGGGGCCCCATCCGGGCCCTGAGCTGCAAGGGGACACGATCCCCCCACCCCAAATCAGACAGCACGCAGGATGAGCTGCAAACCAGCAATCCAAACTGCTGAGCTTTATTTGACTGCAAAGGCGTCACACAAAGAGTGCAAAGACATTTGGCAGGAAACAACTCCCCTCATGCTCCAGCTTGTTCTCAGCTGTCAGGGCCCTGGAGGGGCTGAGCTCCGGTTGAAGGATGCCCAATTTGGTGCTGTAACTCCAGTCAAGCTGAATATATGAACAATCGCAATGATGTACCCAATTAGCAATAAGCTGTGGTGCGATGCCTTGTGGTACATTCTGGTACGGCTTGGAAAGAAAGAGAGGAAGAGAAAGAGAGAGGAGAGAGATGAAGATGCACTCACTGCCCTTGTACCCAGCGATGTCACAGCTGTTCCCCTAAGTGTGGGGCGCCTTATATGTTCCTATGCACCTTTGCTTTCTGTGTTCCTGCGCCCACCTATGGTAGAGCCGAGTCCTTCTTCACACCATCCCAGAAGGGTCTCCGGTGGTGGGCAGAGCCCATCTGAATGCTCTGGCAATGGGTTGGTGGGGCGGAGGGTCTCTTGCTGTCCACCCCACCAAATGAGCACCGGTTGGGTCCACGTGGAGCATCGCCATACTTTGCGAGACATTCTCCTGGTCTGAGTTCTCCTGTTGTTACTCAGTGGGACCTGCAGAGCTCCAGGAGCGAAGGACATGGCTGCCTCACCTTCGCAACACCACCTCCTCCACACGCTCCTCGTCTCGTTGCTGTGCTCGTTTCTTTTGCACTTCTACGGAGTGTTTGGGACGTGAACTCTTTTCTTCTTGGCCTCGTCCAGAGGCTCCGCTTGTCCCCTGGGCCCAGCACCCAGTGCTCTCATCCCGATGCGTCTGCAATGGTACCTTCCCCAAAATGATGCACAGCGCTCTGCCCGGAAGTGGGTCACCCCCAGCAGAAAACCTCACGGAACGGAGCAGAGGAACGTCAGCCCAAGAAGACACAGCAGGTCGAGCTGAGATACACACACCCGCAAACTCCAAACGCATGCAGGGCCAGCTGAAGTAGCACAGCACTCAGATGGAAGATTCACTCCCTGCAGGGGTGAGAAGAGACGGTGTCACGTGCGGCCGCGTCCCTGTCCTGACTCACTGCTCTGGGGGCTCTGCAGGGAGAGCCGGGCCCAGTATCGCCCCCGCTGTGAGTCCAACAGAAGAACGCAGGGAATCGAGACCCCTCCAACCTCAGGGACCCCTCCTGATCCCCGGTCCCACACCGTACCTGTGGCCAAACTGCTGGATTCCCCACCGTGGCCTGCAAGGGAGACAGAACCGTGAGCCCTGGCTCTGTGCTTGCTATGGGGCACGGAGCATCGGGCCGCCACCACCACTGTGACCCCAAAGCAACGAGGGGCTCCAGAGTGCCCCAACCCCGAGCATCGGCAGGGGACAGTGCTGCCCTCATCGCTTACCTAGTGCAGCTCTGTAACCTTTCTCATCCTTCCCTGCAGAAAGAAGTGTCAGCGTTGGCTCCTGTCAGAGCGCAGGCACTCCCAAGGGGGTCTGGCTGCTCCCCGCCTTCTGCCCACAGCCCTCTGCCTTTACCTGACTTGCGCTTCCATGCCAGCAATCCAACGACAGCAGTGACAACAGCCACGAAGACCACTCCGGCCACAGTGAGGATCAGGTTGGGCTGCCGCTCTGCGGGAGAGCGGCGTTGTCAGGAAAGGAAGGGGTGGACTCTGAGCCCCAGCCCCACGCACCCCCACTGCCAGGCTCACCCCAGGAGAAGAGGCCGGGCTGGAGCAGGCTGGCGTGCTCCACACGGCAACGGTACTTGTCCCCGTCCCCCGGCAGCGCGTCGATGGTGGCCAAGGCGTGGTAGGTGCCGTCGCTGTTGGGCACGATGCCACCCCAGTGGGTTTCCTGGTCCTGGATCACACCGTCCTTCATCCAGCCGATGGCGATGGGCCGTGGGTAGAAGCCGTAAGCGCGGCAGGACAAAGTCAGGATCCCGTCAGCCTCCTCCCCCCGCACTCGCACCTCGGGCCGCTCTGCAGATGGGTGACATTGCGGGCAGGGCTGAGCTCCTCACGCCGAGCCCCTGCCCCACACCCAGCCCAGCCCCACGGCCCCCTCCCATCCTCACCTCTCCTCTTCAGCGCTGCCTTCCCGTGCTCCACGTATCTTCTCAGGTTCTCAACGCAGAGAGTGCCCAGCATGTGCTTCCATCTCTCGGCGCATGTCCCTTCCGCCTCCAATCTCCTCTTGGTGACTTCTGCCACTGCATCCGCCGCGGTGAACGTCATCGTGTTCATATCGAAGGCCATGTAGTCCCTGCCGTCAAACGCATCCTGATTGTACCCTTGGATGCTGCCGTCCTCCAGGATGTCACAGCCGAACATCTTCTGCAGCGTGTGAGACCCTGAGACACAGCGGGGTGGGCAGCGAGGGGCTTCTTGGGCTGTGGGGCACCACAAGCACCGCGGAGCTGGGATGGGGCGAGCGGGCTCAGGAACGGGGCATCCCAGGGAGAGCAACACCACACACGGATTGCCCAGCACAGCTGCACGGGGGGGCGCAGCCGGGCCTCAGCGGGGCCGACAGACACCCCATCGAGCCCCCGCCCCACGGATCCCCCAGCCCAGCCCCGCCGCCCACTGCGGCTCACCTCTGCTTTTGTTGTAGTGCTCCTGGAGCCAGTCCAGAGCCACGTAGAAATCCAGCTCACCGCTCTGGGCCTTCTTGGTCTCCGCATCCCAGTGCTTCACGTCCTCCTGTGCCAGCCAGTCCACGATGGGCTGCACCGTCCGGCGCTCGCTGTTGTAGTTCCCGAAGGGTGTGCCGTCCACGTAGCCGACGGCCACGAACTGCGGCATCCCGGGTCCGGGATCCGTAATCCCCGTCAGGAAGTACCGCAGGGAGTGCGACTCTGCGGGACAGACGGCGCCGGAGTCGTGAGCCGCGGGCGGGGATCCCGCGGACGCAGCCCAGGAGCGAGGAGCCGCGGGTCCCGGGGCCGGGGGCAGCCCGTTCCCGCAACACTCACCGCACGCCGCCTCGCCCAGCACCCCCAGCAGCAGCCCCAGCAGCACCGCCTCGCTCGGACCCATGGCGCCGCTCTCCGGGACGCCTCCGGCCCCGCCCCGCGTCCCCATTGGTGCCTCCGCCACAGCCTGGCCAATGGAGACCGAGAGGGCGCGTGACGTCACCGGGCGCCGGGCAGAGCTCGCTCTCGAGGGTTGTCAAAAGGGACAGCGAACGCGCACAGGAAGGGAGGGGACGACGATAAGGATAAGGGCAGGAGCCGGCCGTCAGAGCGCGGCCAAGGGCGGCGGCGGGAGCCCCGCTCGAGCGCTGGAGCACAGCGGTGTGGGATGCGCGGCACGCTGCTCCCGGCGAGGATGGGTTGGATGCAGAGAGGCACCGAGACCCCAGGCGTGGAAATGACCTCTGGATCGCCAACCCGACTCCAGCCCGTCCTTCTCCGTCGCTCTGAGCCCCGTCCCCAAGTGCCGCATCTCCACGCTCCCGGAACTCCTCCAGAGACGGAGAGAAAACAACGGCAGAGTTCTGCAGTGCGGCTGACACGACGGGGAACCCGAGGGCAGCGGCGTGAGCAGCACCTGAGCTCTCCGGGTTGTTCTGCCCAGAGAGGAGGCCGAGGGGAGGCTCCGCGGCAGCTCAGCGCCCCCTTACGGTGGCCCACAGTCTTCTCTTGGTAGCCAGGAACTACAGCGACACGGAGGAACCTCCTGGCAGCCGTCAGTGCCCTCCCACAGCGTGAGACCGCCTGGCCCTGTGTGGCCCCGTCGGCTTCTCTGATGGTTGCCAACTCTGCTTTTCTTCTGCCGAGGGTCTCTGATCCAAACAGCCTTAGAACATCCTTTCCAGCCCATCATAATACCCGTACTATTCGAAAACGTCTAAAAACTACTGCAGTTTTGCAAGAGAGAATTAATCGTAATTAATTATATAAATTAAGATTTAATATGAATTATGAATTAATAATAATTCAGCAGCTCTATTTCCAAAACATGCTACTGACGTGTGGTATTTCCACCTCTTCACACCAGCTGTTTCTAAGGACGAGGTACAAAACACAAACATTACATACAAACATTGCGCTCTGCTTCTTCAGACCAGTTCCCCCTTTTTGACATCTGATGCAGAAACAGCCTTGGAAACTCATCTGCATCCAATCTGCTTTCTTTATGGCATCTTTTGCCTGCGTGATGAAATTGACAAAGGACAAAACCCTTCAATTTCTCTCCTGATGTATGGTTTAGTTGCTTTTTATCCTTTCTTTATTTCATACTTTGGAAAAGAGAGGTCAAACTCTTATTTCTCTGTGCTACAGAATTTTAGAACCTGTTTTTAGGGTCTTGCTTGAAAAACAACGTGAAATAGAAGGGGTTGCACTGGATGATCTTGTGTGTCTTTTCCAGGCTTGGTGATTCTATGATTGTATGAAGTGACCAGCAGGACACTGGAGAGGTGAAAATCTTCATTTTCATGGCTGTAAAATGCAGTTACTTGGCCCTCTGCCACCGCACACAGCGTACAGCTGAGGTCTCCCATTCCTGGGAAGAGTTTTAGAATGGCTTTAGCTGAATGGGTCCTTAAGGCCTGTCTGGTCCCAGTCCCCTGCTGTGGGCTGGTTGCCCCCACTGGATTTGGCTGCTCAGGGTCTCATCCAGCCTTGGGAGCTCCCAGAGAGGAGGCGTCCAGGGCTTGTGTTGGCAGCCTGTGCTGGGACCTCACCTTTGAGTCAAAAATTACCCTCTAACATCTAACCTACATTTCTCCTCTTTTGGTTTAAAGAAAATCTCTCAGGGAAGGGCTGTGTGTGGCAGGGAGCTTCACTGAGCCACGGGGCTGAAGCCTTGAGAAGTTTTGGATGAATTTGGTGTAGGGCAAACAAAGGCGATGGACGCAGCCTTTATTTGAGAAATAGGTGCTTGGAGAAAGGGGCGAGCTGAGGAATGCAGCATTCCTGCTCGCGCTGCAGGAGGAACGAGCAGGGGGAAGGGGAACCCATGCAGACTCAGACTGCACACGTGCTCCCAGAAGCTCTGCTGAGACAGAAAGGGTGGCTCCAGCCCCCTTCCGCTCCAGGCATGTGTTGGTTCAGGCTGGTACCTTGGAATTCCACCACACAGCATGAAGCAGTGACTAAGCAGGTAGGGGGTGAGCTCCCACAGGCTGCTGGCTCAAAATGCAACGTACGTCATGGCACATGTTCAGTGCCTGCCACAGTGTAGATTGCTAAGACAATAAGGGCAATTACTGGCAGTCTTTCCTGTGGATCTGTTGGGCCAGCACTTGATGTTCTTTCTCGAGGCATATCTTCTACTGAGGATCGTATCAGAGAAAAAATCCCCCCTGCAAAACATGGATGTTACACAGAACCACAGGATGACAGAATGAGCCGGGTTGAAGGGAGCTCAAGGATCACGCAGTTCCAACCCCCTGCCCAGCAGGGCCACCAAACACACACAGTCACATCAGGTTGCCCAGGACCCCGTCCAAGCTGGCCTTGAACACGGCCAAGGACGGGGCATCCACAACCTCCCTGGGCAGCCCGTTCCAGGCCCTAACCGCTCTCCTTGGGAAGAGCTTCCCCCTCACATCCAACTGAAATCTTCCCTCCCTCAGCTTGGATGGGTTCCTATGGCTTCCTATGGGTTCCTATGGGTTCCTATGGGGCTCTGTGGGTTCCTATGGGTTCCTATGGGGCTCTGTGGGTTCCTATGGGTTCCTATGGGTTCTATGGGTTCCTATGGGTTCCTATGGGTCCCCTTGGTTCCTATGGGGCTCTGTGGGTTCTATGGGTTCCTATGGGTTCTATGGGTTCCTATGGGTTCCTATGGATCCCCTTGGTTCCTATGGGGCTGTGTGGGTCCCCTTGGTTCCTATGGGTTCTATGGGTTCCCATGGGGCTCTATGGGTTCCTATGGGGCTCTATGGGTCCCCTTGGTTCCTTGGATCCATTTCCCCTCGTCCTGCTGTTGTCAGCCCTTTGCAAGAGTTGCCTCCCCTCCTGGCTGTAGGTTCCCTTCAGCTATCGATAGGCTGCACTGAGCTCAGCCCGCAGCTTCTCTTCTCCAGGCTGAACGAGCCCAACTCCCTCAGCCTGTCCTCATAGGGGAGCTGCTCCAGCCCCCTGCTCATCTCAGTCGCCCTCCTCTGGACCCTTTCCAACATCTCTCTGTCTTTCTTGTCCTGAGGGCTCCACACCTGGACATGGGACTCCAGATGGGGCCTCACAAGAGCCGAGTAGAGAGGGACGATCACCTCCCTGTCCCTGCTGACCACCCCTCTGCTGATGGAGCCCGGGATCCCATTTGCCTTTCGAGCTGCCAGAGCGCACTGCTGCCTCGTGTTCAGTCTCTCGTCCCTCAGGACCCCCAGGCCCACTCCTCCCAGCCTGTACGGATGTTGTCCTCATATTCCACAGCACTATGAAACCCCACCGCTACCAGCATTGGACAGACAGCCGCCCAGCAGTTCTCTCTGCTGTCACAACACTCCACAGACTTGAGAGAGTTTCTCCCATCTCCTTCACAAACACGACCACCTATTGCATACAGTTTACCACAGCAATGAACCAATTTGCAGCCTATTCTGGCTTGCAACAAAGAAGCTTTTGGAATCCACCTGTTGCCAGAGTGATCGTACATCCAGAAATCACTCTGTGCTCTGTGATCAATGGAGACTCCCTGCTGCTTGGTCTGTGACCACCCGCAATAGAAATATCATTACCAGGAGATACAAGAATTCCAGCCTCCCTCAAGTCATTTGGTGGCTTGCGTAGTTTAAACATTCTCCCTGTGACCGAATCTAAACAAGGCACTGTTTGCTTCTTTCTTGAGTGTGGGCAGCATCAAAGCATATGATCATTTCAGAAGCAGTCATTCCAAGCCACTGTGTAAAGCCGCCGGCACTACGTTGTCCCTTTTGTAGACAGCTTTTGACCATAGCCTGTGCAAACCTTGCAAACCTTTGCAAACATGCAAACATTTTTATCTGAAAATGTCTCTTCCAGTAGGGGCACACGGATGCATTTGGCACATATTTCTCCTCTCTTGTTTTGTTCATGCTCAAACAACCTTATGATGCTGTCATAAGCATGTTCTTTGTCTGCATTTTAAGTCATCACTGTTGAGGATACTTATGAGCTGGCCTTTTCTCAACTGCAGAAACTCTTGCTCTTTGGGGACACTCAGGAACTTTTTACCAATGTAGTCTTGTGATCTGCCTTTGGGTTCCTGGTTACTACAGCCATCAGCAAAGATCCACCCCAGTGGAGTTCTGCGGGTCCAAATGACTGACGGTGTATTTAGCGCATTGCTCTTGTATGGAAGGGATCTCAAGGGTACTGCAGTGAACAAACTTGAATGTTGGCCTCTGTCAGCACTACTCTGGAAGTACGTGGGTAGTTCAGCACTGAACGCATTGGCTCTGCTTCAGCACCAACTGCACGAACTTCCTTCTGGGTGCGCTCTGTGAGGCTGCTATCAGACACAGATCTGAAGTAAGGACTGACTGCAGCAAGAACATTTCTGTGACAGGAGAGTGTTTTCCCACGATCCACTTCCACTGCAATATCTGTCAGTTGTCCTTCATCAAACATGGTTTTGAGTTGTTGAAGAATACTGCAAGCATGGAAGGGGTGCATTCCGCTGTTGACTGTGTTTGAAGAAGGAATTCCATTCAGTGTTTGTGACAACTTACTTGGTTCTCCTAACGCTGCCATTCTCAGGGCTCCAGCTCTGCCAGCGGCAGGGGCGGCCTGAGAGGGAATGTCCCCTGTTCCACTTCCTCTGCACCACTTCCTCTTCGCTCTTCTCTCAACAGGGAGCTGTTGGAGAGGGTCCAGAGGAGAGCCACAAATATGACAGGGGACTGGAGCACCTCACCTACAAAGACAGGCTGAGGGAGCTGGGCTTGTTCAGCATGGAGAAAAGAAGGCTGTGGGGTGACCTCAGTGCAGCCTTTCAGTACCTAAAGGGAGCCTGCAAACAGGAGGGGAGTCAGCTCTTGGAAAGGGAAGAGAACTGCAGGACAAGGGGAAATGGTTTTGAGGAAGGGAAGATTTTGGTTGGATGTCAGGGGGAAGTTCTTTACAGAGAGAGCGGTGAGGTGCTGAACAGCTGCCCGGAGAGGCTGTGATGCCCCGTCCATCCCTGGAGGTGTTCAAGGCCAAATTGGATTGGGCAGCGTGGGCTGGTATTGAATGTGGAGGTTGTGTGAGAGAGGGGGTTGGAGATTCGTGATCCTTCAGGGACCTTCTGCGATTCCGTGATCTTCAAGGACCAGCAGCAGTTCTGAGTCATGTTCACCAGTTCCCAGAAGTTCAGCATTGCACCCCAGGTTGTCACGATGTTTCCTCATGGACACCAGCATGCTGGAATGATGTTGCTCCTGCTGGCTGTCCTGTGAACTTATAACCTCAAGGGGTTTAAGGTGAGATGCAGGCGGTATTTTGGTCTTGAGTCAACAGCTGCACCTGTATCAGGGCTCGTCCTGGTCTTCGATACCACACCATAGCTTGATATCTGTGGCTGAATCACTGTATCAGGTACCAAAGGG